ATATATGTGTGTGTGAAAGGCATGTATCCCTTGTAGTGACAAACCCATAGAGAATTACCTCGACTCTGCAGTTCTTCCCAGCCCTAAATAGACTTACTATCTTTCATTGTTGTGGTTCTACAGCCTGCAAATTTGATGTTCAGATTATGTCCACACTAAGCCTCTTTTCCTCTCTGTTACAACCCCCCTTTTTAGATAACAAAAGCCTTTTTCTTTACAAAAATTGAGCTTTTCCAGAACAGCCTGTAGAATATATAAATCTTAAAATGCCTGCTTCCTGTTATAGTGTATATGGGGTATGCCATGTTTTCATGTTGTCATCTCCTACTACTAGGGATGAGCAGATTGATCCTGTGGGAGGGATGTCTTGATATTGACAAACTTCTCATTTGGTATTGATTCCTTTAAGAAAGTATCGATAATATAATTGTACAAATACAACTCATCAGTATGATCAGTATCGGTATTGTTAAAATTGTGACAAAAGGTATTGGCATCATATTAGGTTTAAAAAGTCTAATAACGCCTATTCCTACTACATTCTTTGTTTTTATTATTGTTATCTTAGGTATGACATCCGTATTAGTTACAGTGTTGCACTTTGTTATGGTCAACAGTACACCTGTGCTTGATAGCAGCACTGTTGCAGTTTGTATGCTGAGGAAAGGTTTCTAATACGATGGCTGTCGTGCTAATATTATTAGTGTTGTTCCTCTTGCAGGTGGTGAAGATGATGATCATCGTGGTGGTGACCTTTGCCCTCTGCTGGCTCCCCTATCACGTCTACTTCATTGTGACGGGTCTAAACAAGCGTCTGAGCAGATGGAAGTACATCCAGCAGGTCTACCTGTCAGTGCTGTGGCTGGCAATGAGCTCCACCATGTACAACCCCATCATCTACTGCTGCCTCAACAGCAGGTGGGTACAAATAAGTTTTCCCTACATCCCCAAAACACACATGTACTGTATGTGTACACAGCAGCATGATTACATGTCAGGGGTTGATTTGGGCGCAGGTTTCGGGCCGGCTTCAAGCGGGCTTTCCGCTGGTGTCCCTTTGTCCAGGTGTCAAGCTACGATGAGATGGAGCTCCGAAACACAAGACATCGACCGGGTCACCAGAGCAGCATGTGCACTCTCTCTCGGGTCGACACCAGCATCCTCAGCAAGGACAAGAGCATTTGTTCTCGTGGACGTAGGTCGAGACTTAACTCTGAGCTCAATAATAAAGACAGTTAGTTGTCTTGACTGGACGCAGTCCAGCTCTAGGATTATTTTAACAGATTATATTGAGCTGAGAAACCAACAAACAGACATAACACACATAGTTTTAGATACAGTGTGACTTACACTTTCCAAGGATATTATTATCTCACATGTTCATCACGAATAATGTTCATAAACCCTTGTTAACCCTTAAAAATCATAGAAATAAGATGTTATTTATAACTGCAGAGCTTGCCTGGGAATCATCAAGTTTTTGAGTTTTATTCAATACTATTCCATACCCGGGGATGTGTTATGTATAGAGGAATAAGAAATCAAAAACAGTGTATTAGAGGAGATGCAAAATCAGAGCACTGTAAATGCACTGTGTAATAAATGTTACTGTAAGACAAACAATGCACACTGTATTTAGAAACATGCTTTATGGCAAAATACATGGAGCACAGTTTTGGCTGACGGCATGGAGGCACGCGCCTGCGCGGGGCCGTGCACAGGCACACAGGTACACACATACACATGCAACACGGAGAAAGAATGAAAGAAATAGTGCAAAGTGCACAGCGCAATGTTTAGTTTGTAATGTTTGTAGGCTAATGCCAGTAAAGTGAAAATACGTAATGGCTGGCTCGCGCACATAGACACGCGTTCGTTCAGTAAAATAATTAACTTAGTCTTCAGCAAGTGTTGGTGCTTGAAATTGCATGTCCCAGCCATAAACTGTGGTCTGAGCGAAGGTGTTTTCCAAGTGGTTTCGATCCGTAAGTGTTGGAGATAAAGGCTTCCCAGCCAAACTGTGGTCCCAGTGCAGGTGTTTTCCAAGTGATCTCCGTGCATGCGTAGCTTGCGCTGCTAATGGTGCTCACAGTATGAATGGGTAGTGGGAAAAAAACGTGAATATAAACAGTAGAAATGTGGGAAAAATGCAAAAATGGCATCGTGGCTGTCTGCACATGACCAAGATGAAAGCTTATGTGCAAGTTCAGAGAAATAGGTCAAAGCAGTGAGAAGGAAAACGGATGATGACAGACGGACGGACGGAGGGACAGAGGTTTCTCCATTTAATAGTAGGAGGATAAAAGTACTCCAGTTATAGTTGTCTTTACATCCATGGGTACACTGCAAACTGTAACTGCTTATGTCTATATCAGCATAATTTCAATGGTGCCAATTTGCCAAAATGTTAAAACAAATCTATTGGTAAAATATCCCACTGAGCTCAGATTGATCCAGCTGTCATACATCTTTTTATACTTATTATTATTTTTTAGATATTGCCAAATACTTTGTCAGCATCACGAACAACTTTCAGCTGCTTTGAACATTTTATTATCACATTGGTTTAATGTTACACTAAGTGTGATGTGATGTAATATGGTGGTATACACATTTGATTAAATGCTCTATTCATGGTGTATTTAATGCCATCAGACCACCACTCAGTGAATTTCAGCAACTGCAGCATCAGTATTAATGCTGCTCTTCCAACATTAAATCTATTATAGTGACTCTCCGAAATTAAGCAACCCTTGATTCACAAGTGCTTGCTGCTGTCATTTTTGTTAGTTGGAGAAAGCATGTGCCATTTTAAAATTAACTTGTTTGGGACTGTTGTTAGTTACTGTTATTTAATTTTGTTTTATGTTTGTTTGTTTGCTTGTTTGTTTGCATATAATAAGTGTTGTATGTGTTATAATATTATGATGTTTTGATGCAGACACAAACACATAAACTCAAATTATATAGCCATTACGGTGAATTTGTGTTTTATTGTTTTGTTATGATGTAGATTAAGTTTGAAAATGTAAAGCCAGTTCAGTTAAGTTCACTGAACTTGAGATAACAAGTTTAGTAGAGTTAAGATTTTACGTTCAATCGATACTTGTATGGTTACACTTATGTATACCATTTACAGAGTTAGGAGTCCGTTCTTCAGTCTACACTAGAATCTTTATGTCTCTGTAGCTGCGGCTGCTCTTATTGAAGCCACTTTGCCCAGAGTATCAGCATGACACCTGCTCCACCTGCTCCACCTGCTCCATCTGTCAATGCCTATCTTGGGCACTAGAGTAAGGACTGAATTTAATACCCACCTTCATCATGGTTTTCATTGTTTACGTAAACAACCATGACTTCATTTAACATGTATTAAAGACAAACATGTTTTCATCATGTCTGTTTCCTTCAAACCTTTAAAAAGAGGCATCTCCTAAGAGTTTTAACTCTGAAACATTGCATGTTGGGATGTCTGCTAAAAACTTATGTATTTGCTACTGCTGAAACAATAGGTGTTACCATTAAATCTCCGTATTAGGTTTTACAGTCTATTAGGTGTATTAGTGACTATGGAAAAGTGGCATTAATCTCATGTACTTTAACTCAGCAACTCAACCAAATTGCATGTGCAGTTTCAGTGTAGTGTAGTATTGATGTGCTGAAAAGCATGTCTTATAAATGATCACCACTGTAATATAGAATGTGTCAACAGCGTTTCATAACCATTGTTTAAAGATCTGTTGAGCAGGGTTTATCTAAATCTTTGGACTTGTGTCCTCCTCAGGTAGTTGTCTAGACTGCAGACATATTTCTCTCTACAGAAATTAACTTGCAATGAAAGTTAAGAAAAAAGCTGTTATATATTTATGGTGGGATCCAGCCTGTATTTGATGACTTTGTAAAGTGCTTCAATTGTCATGAAAATTTGCTCACAGCTCAGTCCTGGAACACAAATGAGGTAAGACAAGGCATGATCAACCAGTTTATTTGTTTATGTAAAGCTCAACTCCCATATTTAAAAGCTGACTAAAAAGTTGAAGCTGCATGCCACCTTTGTTGCACTTCCCCTTATCTTACTGATATAAGTATAATTCTGCTGATAGGCAGGAAGCAATTGTGGTTGCAGTAATTACAAAAAAAAAAGCGATATGATGATGATTTTTGCAGCGGACCTACAAAAGCCTGTCGCACCTTAATTGCAGACATCACAGCAAATCAATTTGTACATGACCACAAATTTGTACAAACAAAGCAGAGTTTTTTGTTGCAACAACTCTCAGTGCAGTTGGAGCTGCTCATTATTTCTCACTTGTTCTCAACAAAGAAAAAAAGAGATGAAGCCACAAGCACCAACACCAGCCACTGGGTGGAGACATAAGCCCGGGACCTAAAGAAGAGCGATAGAGACAAAAAGAGAGAGATAAATATCTTACAGTTAGAGAAATTATTTGGTCTATTATGGTCAGGTTTGTCTCTTTCAATGAGATATACAATTTCCATCCATTTGAGTCAAGTAGTTTTTAAATCAAATAAAACTAAGATCAATAGAGTATGGCGACATTTCTAACCATAGCTCACAGAATTGACTTTAATGAAGCTTATGTAATGGCAGTTCTTAAACTCTGTGTATTTCAGATATACAGAATTATGGATTTACTTATATTACATTTCTGATATTTGAGTGAATCAACAGTAATTACACAAACTTTATTAAAGTAAGCTGGATGGAAATTTTATATGTAAATTAAATGTATAAACCTGACGGAATAGACCTAATAATATATTTGACTGCAGGTAGGGCTGCACGGTATATGCGGTAGACGGTAGAAATGATATAAATTTGGCCCACGGTAGAGATTTGCGCTCTACCGTCCTATCGTCGATGACGTCATCGCACCTGCCTCAGTGTGAAAATGGCTGCGAGCACAGAGACAGCGGAGCAAGAGGAGCTGGTTCACGTCCGTGATTTAGCGTAGCACGTGCAATATGTGTTGCTGGAGAACTTGTGAGTGAGTGAGTTAATGTCTTATGAACAGCCCCGGACTTCTCAGACTCTTTTAGCGACTTACCGCCCAGAGGGAACTCATTCAGTGTCTCCTCTGGCAGCAGCACAGCGTCTCTCCCTCTCCTCTCTCGCCGTGCGCACACGGGAGTTGGTTTTCGGCAAGAGAGTTTGTCATAAACCTTTGGTAATGTAAACCTATGTGACGCTAGGGGCTCCACAAAAAACTCCATATGTGAATGTGTGATAGCTGTGGTATCATAGCAGCCTGTCACAGGTTACTGCGTGATGATTAGAGGAGAAATGGCAGAGCATAAAGGTCCAGGTGGAAAAAACACAACTCAGTCATTTAGGATTTTGCTAAAAGAAGGAAATTACCTTTTGATATAGATCCCAGGGGACATTTTGTACCATAGAGTACTGGGTTTTAATTTTGAGTTTTGAGATCTGCATTCTGAACAATAAATGCTCTAAAAAATACATTATATCTTTGCTTTTGTTGTTGTTGTTGTTGTTTTTTTATCAATTTAGCTTAGCTAAGGGACTACAAAACCCATTCAGAAACACTTCTATTATAACTTTTACACTTAAATTTATACCGCGATATATACCGTTACTGTGAAGGGATTCGATTTATACCATGATGTGAATTTTAGGTCATACCGCCTAGCCCTAACTGCAGGTAATGGGCTTCAAAATATATTATTCTTTAAAGGAACAGTGTGTAGGATTTAGTGGCATCTAGTGGTGAGGATTACAGATTGCAACCAGTTGAAACTTCTTGAAGTTAGAATTCCTTCAGTGTTTATTGTTCAGGAGGTTTTTTCAGGGAGCCAAATTATCCGCAGGGGTCTCTTCCTCTCCAAAAATAACGGACCAGGGGTCTCATTTATAAACATTGCATACGCACAAATCGAGGCGTAAGCCACTTCTAATGCAAAAGTTGTGATCTATAAAAATAGACTTGATGAGAGAAACATGCCTACGAATGTTTTTGGAGACGCGAAATTGCCGATGCAGATGGTGAGGAGGAAGCCTGGTTGTAGAAATTGTCGAATATTTTTGGTGCACATCATCTTTGGCCTTTGTCTGTATGTATTGTTTTATAAATGAGATCTGATTAAAGCCTTTAAAACCACTGAATAAAGAAGTTTCATGTTACAAATCAGTGTTTCTCCAACCCTGTTCGCAACATTGCTGTCGGGCTGCTAGCCCAGCACCTGCTAATGTGCTCTCACCATTTTTCTCTGACAACTTAAGCTCCAGACGTTCAGGAGGTTTTTAGCGGGAGCGTAATTATCTGCAAAGGTCTCCTCCTCTCTGAAACAAATGCTCTTTTCATGGAGGGCATGCTAACTATGGCGGCCATCTCAAAAATACAAATGGCCATATCTAGAGCCAGCGTTGTGTTTGTCCATTCTGGGCTAATGTAGAAACATGGAGGCGCAACATGGTGATCTCCATATGTGAGGACCCACTTCCTATGTAGATTTAAATGGCTCATTCTAAGGTCACAAAAACACAACAATTCGTATTTATGGGTGATTATACGCTCAAAAAACACACTGATTATATTAAATTCCATTTCCTACATACTGGACCTTTAAGAAACTGTTTTGGTTGAAGAGCAGTTCATATTTACATTAAGTCAGGTAAAACGGTGTGATCTTTGTATCTATTTAAAATATCTGACACCAAACAATTCTTCACTAGTTATTAATAATTATAAAACATTCAAAGATCACACTCACTTTTTAGATAGAGAAATCACAAGTTAATATATCATTTAATAATCATAGAGTTAAGTAGTTTGTTTTGATCAAGAAAATGTCTTACCGTGAAGAAATGTAACAGTTGTGCGTGCTGTTCCGTGCTGAGTGGTTCAGAACGATCACAGTGTATTCAGAGTCATTAATGCTGTCAGACACTTTAGCTACTTTCTGCACAGTGAACACCTCAGTTGGAGATATGAGTGCCATGTCCTGGTCTCCACTGCAAATGTCCGCTCCCAGGTGGACAAAGAAGCAAGTAGTGATATTAAAGATGACTTGCCCATCCCAATCTTCCAGTTCCTTTAGCGTAGTATAGCTTGAATGGACTTTAATGAAGCTTCCAAATCTCACCTTTGAGCCCTCTGGTGCTGAGTAACCTTCGTGAATAAAATACAGAGTCTCGCATTTCTTTGGATTCAGCAGCGACATTGAGTCCATGAGCAGGAAGTGAAGGGACTTGAAATGGAAATGGTTTTCATAGGTGCTTGCATTTCCGCCCATTGTCTCTACGGCAGCGTCAAAGGTCTTTATAAAACCCACATCTGCATTGGCATATGTCAGAAGTGCTGCAGTATGGTCTTTTGTTCCTCCAGGGATCAGCTTTTGACAGTGGTTATTTGCACTCCATGCTTGCTGGAATCCTGCACTGGCGTTCAGCTCTTGTCCTAACAAGCCTGAATTGATAAACTTCTCCATGGCCTCTTGACGGCATCCATCGTACAGGTCATCCACAGCATCTGGGGCCATGTCCAGCAGTTTTAAATTTGTCACCTTTAATTAGATTGAAGTTTCAAGACAAGAGAATATCACTTTTTTTTTTCCAAACATAACACAACATGTTTTAAGCGGCCATCTGTAAGAGAAATACTCACCTTGTGGAAAAGACCAGTGACAACGATTGCAGCAATGAGCAGTTTTCCTCCGTCCCACATTTTAATAGGCTCTTCTTATCTTCTATCTGCACAGTCTGCTGAAACAAAAAATCCAAGAGAAGAATTGCAAGACCAAACGTGAATAAAAAGTTGTACACAGGCCAGCAATGGGATGATGTAGCGTGTTGCTCCTAGACTTTGTTTAGACAAGCCCTTAGTTGTCTTACATGAGAGCACAGCACCCACACTCCCACCCGTTAAACATAAATGATTAAACACTGAAATGAAAAGCAAATGTCGAAAGGCACATACCAGCAGGGAAAAGTAAGTTTCTTGGGAGCAAAAATCAAGTCTGCGTACATCAAATGGCAGGACAGTGATAATTCTCTTCAGAACACTGTCAGTGGGGAAGTAAGAGCTTATCACACCAAGCAACGCCCTTTTCTTTCCTGTGGAAGGAAACAGTGTGCCATTGGGAGCCTTGAGGTCGAGGTATTTGTTCTACTAGAGCTACTGAGTTACTGTAGTAAGCTCTTGCTGATGCGTCAGAGATGTTTTATGTAGCCTACACGGTCCAGCCCAGTGATAAATTGTCTTTATAACCCAGTTTATCCTAAATACTTTGTTCTTTATCCTTTCTTCCTTTCTGTTTCTTTCTTCCTTTCCATATTCTGGATGATTTTCTTAGCTCTTAGATAGATTTGCATTTATTCATTAAACACTCACATGCTCATATTGAAACATGCTTACTATAATAATGCATACTTCCCATTAAAAGATCCCTGTCTAATATTTTTGCAGTGTAAGTGATGGAGGACAAAGTCCACATTTCTCAGTTTTTGTCTGACATGTATCTGAAGTTACTATGAGGCTTCAACAAATCAAGTGTCTTCCAAAGTTACATGAAATTAAATGCACCAAAATCTACAGAGGTCTCACCCAGTGCACACTTACTGTTTGAGGAATGAGGAAACTGAGCAGAAACTTTTATGAGACACATTGAATTTTTTGCTTTGTGAAAAATGTGATAATCCACTACAGCTTAACTTTTATTTCTTTTGGTTTAATAGTCACTTTGTTGCTGCTTGCTTCTATAATAATACTTTCATATCAGACCTATTGCATTTGGATTGAAAGGAATGCACCAAATACTCTTTAGTGTAAAAGTGGTGCAGAACATTTTAATCAATCTGTAAAAAGCAGTAAAACAAGTCCTTAAGAATCCTCTGATGCCCACTCCATATTCCTCTGTTGAGTGATATACCACATTCTACAGCACAAATACTTACCTGATGACTAAATACTGTTAATGGTGTTGTTTTTGTTGGCGCTCCATAGGGATTACGCTAGTGAACAGCAACTTCCTCCTCTCCTCCTCTCATTTCCTTTCTTTCTTGCTGGTAAAACAGGCTGCTGAATTTAAGCTTCACAAAGCACCTACTCAACCACAACAACACTTTTTTTTTTTTTTTTAAATTCTAACCGTTGAGTTTTAGTATGAGGAGCAGAAGGGGAAGTGATAGTTTGGCCACAGCCCATCCTCTCTTGACTAGGGTCAGTGCAGGATGAACATTTTTAGTTGTTAATTACTTGTCAGAGCTCTGGCGGAAGGGGTGTGATGCCCTGTGAGAACTTGCCATGGGAGGCCGTTATTGCTGACATGCAGAGACAAACCAAAAACTTCAGCTGTAATTGTGCAATAAAACTTATCTTGAACTTGCATTTCATTTGTGTGTCATAAAATTGTCTAATATGGTGATGAAGCAGTACAAAAATCAGATAATGGAGTGCAAGTATGGGTGTTGTCTCTGTACAACATCTCAACAGCGTAGCTAAACAGTAGGCCTATATGCACAACATTTAACACACGCAACAGCATTATGCAAAACTTCAACAATTCCTCCAACCCACAGAACTGCGCACAACTTTCAAAAAGTGCCAACAACAGTTTTTACCGTTATAATTATCACCTTCACATGAAGCCAAAGAAAGTAACAACTTTTAGGAAGTTGTTTTCTGACAGTCTGTTGGCACATTTAATGTGGTAACACTAAGAGAGATATTCCATCTTTAAATCAAAAACCCTACAGTGTGCCTTGGATTGTTTTTGATGGAGACTTGCATTTTAGATTTCTTAACTGAGAGTATACTTTACTCATGCAGTGAGTCCCTCACAAGATCGAATAGTAAACCCGATTTATCCAAAGAGCGCACGTGTGACTACACTCTAAAAACGTTTTATTTTATTTTTTTCATTAAAAGATTATATTTGTTGTATCAGTGTGTTTTAGTCAGTTGACAACTTACTTTAAGATGGTCAAAATCAAAAACATTTTTGACTAGCATGAAATTATAATAAATAAGTTAGAATATCTTAAATAAAATAATTTGTCTACAAAATATCACAACTTTTGCATAAATATTAAGTTGATTCAACTTAATTAAGTTTTCTTTTTAGGGTTAAAGCAAATCATGTTGGTTGTACTAAACTAATGAAGTTTGTTGGATTATATAAAACTCAAAGGACTGACTCATAAATGGCAGAGTTGGAACTACTTATGAAGATGCATGCAAACTGTTACCCTAATTTTTTAAAGTTGAACCAGTGGATTATTTTTTAGAGTGTGCTACTAAGACCCAGCAGCTCATCTATTCCAGGTGCCAGCCAATAACGGTCAAGGTAATTTAACCCCTCTTTAACCTCCAAAGTTTATTCTTTAGGACTTTAGTAACTCATTTGTCAGTGATCGTCAGTATTTGTAATCCTCACACAACCATGATCCTCCGTCTGAATCAGAGACCAATAAACAGTCTAGAGGATGAAAACTTTTAAATCTAATTCAAAATATGACATTAAAAAATCCCAAAACTCTGATATGAAATTTGTGAGGAGTTTCTGTGAGAGTCCAAACATCACATGACACTCAGCTGACCCATATTGTACTAGGTTATCTGACAGCAGAAGCAGACGACACACAGTGGATTCAGATTCTGCAGTGGCTGTTCATCAGTGTAGAGAAGAAAAATTATCTCTTTGAGTCTCTTCAAGGTGCAGATGGCTTCGTCTGTTTGTCTTCGTTTTCCCCCAGAAGGCCTCAGTGGTCGAGGATCCGCAGGTTTCCTGAAATGATCTTGTTCTCCAGCACTGCTCCGGCAGGGATGTCGATCCTGTCGCCATGATTGGCTATGATAATGACGGTTCCCTGGGGAGGGTAGAAAGGTTTTATTAATAAACACAGTGATGTCATTTTACTGGTTTATTGTTTGTGTGGAGTGGAGGAAGTGCTCAGATCCTTTACTTCAGTAGAAGTATTGACACCACACTGTGGCCCAAATCACTCACCACTCACTCTGTAGTCCACTATATAGTTTTCATTTCATTTCATTTATTTCCTTTTGACCCCTCCCCAGGGTATAAGGGACAGACAAAAATAACATTAACAAATCAGAGCAGGCGGCAACCAATGCACAACAAAATAAATGGAGCAGAATTAGTGTACATATGTACAAGTCAAAGCAAATCAAGAGAAACTATTCAGGATTAGCCTGGTTCCAGACCATAGACCCCGCCCACTCAACTGAGTAGGCTTGCATTACTGGTCTGGCATACTTCAATGAATTTGTGATTTATCTCGTCCAAACGATGGACGGACCAATGAACGCCGGGGGTCTAGCGATTAGCCAATCAGCGCCACGCTGATGTCGAGCTGTACGCCGGTGGGTAACTGGTGAGGATAGCAACAATGGCGACCGCTACAGATCCTACAGACCACATTGACGATGCTATCGAGGTATTTCGCAACTACTCGCGTTAATGGAGGACCAAATTAAGGGAGCTGCTAAACCGGATTTAACGGCGATGCAGCTGGGCGTGCACGACGGAGACATTTTAAACGGGCAATGCTCGCTTGTTTTCGGCACCCCCGAGGCATGGATACTAATGACGTCAGATTCTGGGTGAGTCGTCTGATTGGTTACGGAAAAAATCAAATTCCTTCCCCTTGTAAATCGCCTTCAATGGATGCCATGTCAGACTGAAGGTTCTGGGAGCTTCAGTCTGACACTCAGGCTAATTCAGGATTTTCTTTAAAAGTTTCAACAAATTTGACAAGACCTTTACTTTTAGAGATGACATTAACTTTTGAAACTTATAAATATTTGGATTTACTCTATAGAACTGTCCGACCAGCTCTCTTCTCTCTTTGTTAAAAAAGGAACACACAAGTACATAATGATATTCGTCTCCTCGATTGCCAGTCAAACAAAGAGTACATTGCCGAGGGACATTTTCACAGTCATACCTGCACTCAGAGATAGGTAACTTGTGATTTCCACACCGAAACTTAGACAAACAAACTCTTTCGGCAGGTCTTAACATAATCAGATAAGGTTCAAAAGTGAAATCAGTTTTAAACAATTTATAACTATCACATAAAGGGTTGCTTCGTAATTTCTCATGCCATCTCTGTAGTTCCATATCAGATAATCTACGTTCAATCATTAATTTTAAATACTTAGGGTTCATCCGTCCAGTGTCATGCCATAAATACGATAAACCACAATCATCAAGAATATTTTTAACTTTGGAAATCCATTTACAGTTAAAAATATTGTCATCATACAAAATCTTGAAAACAATAAACACAATCAAAGAGATTTTTGTTGTATCATGACTAATTAAATGTACCCAAAAGTTAATCATTCTCATGTTTAGCTTTAAATCTAGACTATTTAGACCAAACTCTCCATAAATAATACAATTTGCTGTGCGTTTATTAACATTAAGTAAACGTTTCAAAAAAGATCTGTGAAGCATTTCAATTTGGTCAAGTTTATGAAATCCCCAGACTTCACTTCCATATAAAAGAATAGGCACTATAAGCTGATCAAATAACTCACATTGTATATCAACAGGTAACTGTGATCTAGTAACTCTGTTTTCCAAGGAGAATAAAACTCTTTTAGCTAGTTTAACTTGCTTAGCAATCATCCATTAAAATTAAATAACGTTCCAAGATAGTCATACTCAAAAGTAACTTCTAATTTATTTGAACCAAACTTAAATTCTGGGAGTATCCGTAATTTCCCCCTAGAGAAAATAACAACCTTTGTTTTGTCTGTGTTAACAATTAAATACCAGTTTTTACAATAGGAAGCAACTGCATTTAATGCGGTCTGTAATTCTGAAGGAGTCTCTGCCAGTACAATCGTATCATCCGCGTTAAGCAGGACATATAATTTCAGATATATCCCTATTTCACCATTCATCACATTGCGGCATTCAGTTGAGAAAAGTTGAAGTCCTTTGTACCATTGACCCACGTATTTTTCAAAGTCATTTAAATATAGTGCAAACAATAGTGGTGATAAATTATCCCCCTGACGTATTCCTACATTACATACAAATTGTTCAGACAAATCATAACCAGCTCTAACACAAGATTTAGCATTCTCATAAATATTATGTATCACATACCCTTCCATTTATACCAAGTGCAAATAATTTAAGCCATAATGATGACCGATCTACCAAATCAAACGCTTTTTTATAATCAACAAAAGCACAATATAGTCTTTTTTTCTTAGGCAGGTACCATTCAACCAGTGAGTGAAGAACAAAAATATGGTCAAGGGTTGAAAAGCCTTTCCTAAACCCTGCCTGCTCTTCTCCAAGAATTCTTTCAGACTCTATATAAGCAGTTAGTCTGTAATTTATAACAGCCGTAAAAAGCTTACCAATACAACTAAGTAAAGTAATACCTCTGTAATTTTCAGGATCATCTACTGGTCCCTTATTTTTGTATAGTGGTTTTATCACTCCTAAACACCAGTCAGTGGGGACTATACCTGTTATCAGCACCAAATTAAAAAATTTAACTATAATGTTCAACACTTCCAAAGGGGAGTTCTTTATATATTCATTTATAACATCATCAATACCGTTTGCTTTTTTATTTTTAAATTTTTTTACCATTCGCTGTATTTCTTCCAAAGTAAACAAATCATTTATGTATTCATTTGTAGGAGAGGTGACTTGTCTGAGGTCAAATTGCTGGTCTTCTGGTGTACAATTATCACTCGATTTTTGGCTGAGTTTTTTAAAATATTCAGCAAAAGTTTCTATAGATACATTTCCTAATTTTCCAGATGGTTTACCTGCATTTAAAATAGACCAATATTCATTACTATTAGATTTTTTAAGTGTACGAAGTTTCCTATGTAAAGAATCATAGTACTGCCTTGAACATTTTCTTATGATGGATTTATACTTTCTAGCTATACATTTTATTTCAACTTTAGATTGGACAGAGCGGTTAAATTTGAATATGTTCATGGATTTAAAATATTTTCTACGAGCCTCAGTACATTCAGCATTAAACCAGGGTTTTCTCTTCTGTAGTTTTTTTGACATTCTACCAAATTTGTACAGATCCTGAACATATGCCTTACATAAACCCAAACTTTTAGCTTGATCTACCATAATGTCACATATACCTTTACTAATGTTATTTATTTCAACCAGATTTGTATTGGAAATATTAATTGCATCAATCATTGAATCATACATTTTTATAACCTCTAAATTAAAGATTTCTTGGTATGTGGCTTTTAACTCAGGTTTCCATCGGTGTTTAAATATTAAATGGGTCATGTGTCTATAATCTTTTTCAGGATCATAATAAGCAGTATCTGTAAGAGTTTCACACTTATGAGTACCAAGGTTATTGGCTCTTATAGTTAAACTAATAGGTCAGTGGACATCTGACAAGCATTTATCCAAAGGTTCAATACAAAAATAAATAATCTGTGCTAACAAACAAGCTGACACTATGGCATAGTCAATAACGCTGTTTCCATTATAATTAAAGCAGGTGTAGCGCCCAGTGCCTTTATCAGACCCAAATCTTCCATTTACAGTCTTCAACTCTGAACTTTGACATAATTCAATTAGACTGTGACCATTATTATTAGTCGTTAGATCTTCACTGACCCTCTGTAGATCCATCAAAGAAAAATCATTTATTTCACTATTTAAAAACATTTCGCCATCAAAAGACAGCCCATTTCTAATACTCGTTCCTATGTCACCTACATTTAAAGAGTCACTCAGAGTACCAGTTCTTGAATTGAAATCACCCAACATCACTATTGGTAAGCTGTATTTACTGTTCATAAATGAAATATCTTGGGAGACATTTCCAAAATAGTCCTTGTTGAAAAAAATAGATCCTTCATGTGGCACATAAACTGTTCCCAAGATGAATTCAAACCCAAAAGCTGCTTTGGCCATTTTAGTCCACAGGATGGCATCAGAAGTAGTGTCTTTTATCTCATGAACATAATTTGCAAACTCATTTTTAACTAATAGACAAACCCCATGTATACCACCATGTTTATAACTTGATTTCTTCTTTTCTAGCACAAAAGGAGTAAATCCATCACAGTCTGATTTACAGATATTATCTGTTTTGGTTTCTGTTAAACAGATAAAGTCATAGTCTTTAATGTATTCTGTAATGCCAAATTGAAATTTAGCACGTAATCCACATACATTTAGTCTGAGGAATTTAATATCCGTCTCCTGTTTAGTCTTAAATCGACCGGTAGAATTTTTACAAGTTACATCCTTGATACAAGTTGCATGTAGTGAGGGGTCAGCGCTGGCCTAGGGGAGGTCTACATATATCCCGACGCTTTGAGCTTTTTCTGCAGGCCATCCCAGTTTGAACATCAGCTCATCACCGGAGTAGATGATTTTCTTCACTTCCCGATCGTTGTCCTTAATGATGCAACTGATGTTACCGTCCATTGTCCAGGCTCTTTTTATCTCTGGATCCATCCTCACTTGTCTCAGGATCTTTCCTCTCAAGAGCATAAGGTCTTCCTCAATAAAGACTTTTTCCCATCAATGCTCCTTAGACGTTTTTTATTTCTCATAATTTGAAGTTTGGTTTCATACCTGACAAACTTGACAAAAATGTTTCTGCTGCGGTGTTGATCTTCAGCCTCGTGCACTCTTCCACGCTTCCCTGGCAGATGGTATCTTACGCTGATGTCCTGCTCTTTCATCTCCACTCCCATCTCGGCTGCCAGATCAACTACTACTTTCTTTGTGTTCTCACTGTTTGTTTACGGGATTTCTCTAATGATTATGTTTGTCTTGCGAGTAGTTTGCTCAACTTTGTCACACTCAAACTTCAGT